AATGTCACATCGACTTGAAGTATCTTATGCCTACCGTGTTTGTTTGCGGTTTGGGAGGCATGTGGGTTGTGCCTGGACTTGTTTCATCACTGGACGCTATGAGGAAGCGATACAGTTGGCGATGAAAATACGAAACGAGGAGCTTGCAATACATTTTATCCGCAGTATCAGAGGCAATAATGAGAAGGAGATTCGTCACATGCTATGGAATAGGCTTGCTACCGCAACGGCTAAGAACGGGGGTGGTGGGTCAAGACGTGCCCTGCAGCTTATTGCGGAGAGTGAGGGTGATTTGAACGTCAGTGATGTACTGCCGCATCTTTCTGGCGACGTGATGATGCAGGAGTTTCGTGAAGAACTTCTGGCGAGTGTGTCGATCTTCAGTAATACTCTGGTGAGTATCAAGCAGGCAATTGAGGTGTCTTTGAAGGACGTGGAGGCAATAAAACGAGACATGGAGAATATTCAGCGACGTCCCTTAAAGTTGCCATCGACGCAGCGTTGTGCCGTATGTGGAAAAGCCGCATTGACGCGGCCATTTGTAGCGTTTAATGGATGTCGACATGTTTACCATAAGAGGTGTTTTGATGCCTGTCGTGCAAAAATGGAGGATCAACTTCGCTCTCTTAAGGATTTGTCCACTTCACTGCCGGTGCACACAGAGGAAGAGATTGAGTGCATGCCTCTTGCAAATGTGGAGCTGGAGTGTGTGTTTTGCAGTCGCAGATATCTGCGGCTGTTTCTGACAGTTCCATTATCGAACAATATCACGAGCAGTTCACTGCGATTGCCATAGCTGTATGCTCCTTTCATTTCTGCTTATTTACATGTCTAACAGTCAAAAATTAAAAACAAGGCAAAAAAGTCTGATGGTATTATTTTCAACCACAAACAGGAGGGCAATGTTTTATCAATATTTATATTTTTTCTTTCAATATTTTTTATTTTTATTTTTTGATCTTTATCTCCGTGTGGGAAATTTATAAAATAACAATTAAGAGAGCGTGGAGTAAAGATAACAACAGCAACAACAGCGGCAAGAAGAGATAAAGAAGGGGAATATGCCTTTTCAACGTCACATTATACGGAGAGGGAGCTGCAGGAGTGGGCCTCTCTCTCTCTGCTCTCATGTGGGGTGGGCATTTCAACATCCGCGGCGGCTTCATGGGACGCAACCAACGCCGTGGCAATCGGAGGATCGCGTGGCAAATTGGTGCTGTAGGCTCTGGGGTCTTCGAGAGGGCTGCTGGGGCGATTCTCCCTCATTTCCATCACCGGCTTCGATGCCATCGTGGACATCGCCCCATAGCGGCCTCGGTCGGGAGCTGTTGAGCGAGGTCGAGTGCCAAATAAAGCTTGCGGAGGAGTTGAAGGCTGTGATGATTGGGGAAAAGGGACGGTTGCCAGAGTCCCTTGTGGAATCGGTGTGGGACATATACGAGTCCATTATTCCGCCCGATGTGGCAACGGACCTTGCCCGATATGTAACACCTACACAAGAAATTAAGTTTTTTGAGTTTATAGGGCTTTTGGCAGAACTTGACATTAATCTCGCGGACGTCAAGGCGGCGACGGAGAAATTGACCCGATGCGTCGGTGTCATTGAGACGCTCCATGCGGATGTGAAGCGGGGCGAAGAGAGGGGCGGGGAACAGGACAATAGCGCCAGCAGTAGTGAACTTGCGTCGGATGCTGCAATGCTATCGGCAAAACTAGTCACGGCAAAGAACGAGTTGCTTCGGCAGTGTGTCGCTGTAAGTCAGGCGGGATCTCCGGTACATTACCTCTGG